TAGGGTCTTGCTCTGTTGCCCAGGCTGGAGTGCAGTGGTGTGACCACTGCTCACTGCAGCCTCGGCATCCCAGTCTCAAGCGATCCTTCTGCCTCAGCCTGCCAAATAGCTGGGATTACAGGCGGGCACCACCAAAGGATTGGGGATTACAGGCGTGCACCACTACACCTGGCTAATTTGTAAATCTTTTCTCACTTTGTTGCCCAGGCTGGTCTTGAACTCCTGAACTCAATATACAGTTCTAAAAGGTTTTTTTAAATCATGTTATTTTATTGGTGTATCGGAAGTCACTTACTTATCACTGTGTGCTCAATGTTGTAAAATTTATGTATAACTGAAGAGAAAATATCACTTAGGTGATGAAACACGGGAAATTTATTCAGCGTTAGGACTCCTGAAGAAACAACTTTGGAAATTTTCTTTTACGTAAAGAAACGGGCATCTGTAAATTCATACATATTTTTTAAAATTATGGTTATAAATTAGGCATTGAAAATATAAAGAGTAAAGGACTATTTTAATTTCCGTTATAATTTTAGTGGCTTACGAAATAGATCATCAAAGCCATTTTGATTTTTTAAATTTCATGCAAAATTTAGTGAATTTCATATGAATAAAACTTCCCCCCGGCTATCTTTGGAAGACTAAAAGCAGGATGATTTACAGGTTAGAAATACACATTGTTGTGAAAGCTACAAATCCAAACCACATCATTAAATAAAACCTCAGGCTCACAGGAAAGTGACTGTCACAGAGCATTTTTATGAATGCAAATTTTTTATTACTTTTTGGTGAGGAAGAACATGATTAGTGACAAAGGGTAGGAAACTGAGTTGAAAAATAAAAACTCTGAAAACAACATGATGACTACTTTCTATTTCTGAAAAACATTTTCTTGAATTTGTTCTGAAAAATACATGAAATATAGAAAATGTTCAAACATAGCTTTCAAAGGTTGTAAAAAGTAAGCATGTAAAAATAAAGGAAGAAAAAGTGAGAAACAGAAGATATAAAAGTTGGGATTTCAGGCTAAGTGTACCTGTCATATTAATAAATCATTGCATCTTCATATTGTATGATTGATGCTTTTTGAAAATAAATCTTAATGTAAATTTTATATAATGAAACACGAGAGTAGGTGATATTTGTGTTGATATGCATTAAAAATAACCGATGTATTTATACTAAGGCATCAATTTGGTCTTTGGTATATGAATTTTTTTTTAGTTCAAAAATATGTTTATATCTAAAACAATGATTATAGAAAATAGACACATTTATCCAGTTAATAAAGTTTTGTGAATAAATGCTGTGTAAAAGTATTTCTCTTGTATTCATTTTATTTTTGTTAGGATGAATAAATCAATAAAATTATATGAATTCAATAATCTAAGCTGAAGTTTATAATTATGCCTATACCAAGAGAAGTTAAAAAACTTCTCTAAGTATGTTCCTAAAATAGGTAATTTTTTTTAGAAATAATTAAAATTGTCAAATATTTTCTCTGTAAGTACTCATAACTCTAGACTCTTTCTTTAATATATTGTCACTGACAGGTAGATGTTAATGAAAGATGCAGTTTTCTAAAACAGAGATCAGGCCACGGTCATATTCCTGTTTGGTGGTAATATAAACTCAATGACATTGGCTAAACAATTAGTTTTATTCTATCTAAAATCTCAATCCAAGTTCTCTTAACATCTCACATAATTTCCATGCATGAATCCTATAATCCATATCAAATAATCTACATTTGGATATCTGATTAAATGGTCCCCTAGACTTCTACCTCCTCCTGTAGTTTTCCCTGCCTCTTGTATCACTACCTAGTCCTAGAGGACACAAGTGTAGCACATTACTCACACAGTTTTAATATGTTCCTCAACCTTTCATTTCATTGCATCTGTGTCTTTGAGAACACTTTTTACCACTTTTTGCTTTATATTGCATTGTTCACCGCTTTTTACATGCAGGCTGTAACTCTTAAATGAGACTTCAATTTCATTGATGATGACAACTGTCACCAAGACTCTTTTTTAAACATCCTTCTGAATGTCTGGACAAGCATCTTGCATCTACTGCATATTTAGAACACCTTGCTCGGTTAAAAAATGTTAGGAGGTATTAGTTTCTGTTTGAAACTAAGGCATTTCAGACAGCACTTTGAAATTTCCAGTAGATAATTTAGAATAAGAATTTGATGATTTTTGACATAAGAAAAATGGTATTGATACAATTATTAGGGTAACTATTATGACCCATTTTAAAATTTCTAAAGTTAGTATTGGTGAGCAATAAGACTAAACAATCTGATGAACCCATTATAAGCCATAAATGTTACATTCCTTCCTCATAGGACATAATTCCAAGAGCCCTTCAATGCCCATTTTCTCTATTCACTTTCACCTAAGAGTTTGAGAAAAGAATTATTACTAAAATAGTTTTTGATGTCTCTGAAGTGTTGAAGGGCAAAATTCTTTCATTTCCATGAACTTAGCACAATATATGAAAGCAATCATTCCTCCCTTGACTAACACTTTTTTCCAGATTTTCATCAGCGCTTCAAATAATATGTTGTTTTTTTCTGATCTCTTCTTTTATTTAAAAAAATTGCACCACTACATCTTTCATTGGCACAAGTCAGAGTAGTATATGTGTTTTTAAAAGAGTAGGAACATGGTAAAAAGTACTGCATTTAATATTTTCATTTTAAATTTATGTACTTAGAAACTGAAAAAGCCACTGGGTTCTGAGTGCTGGTCTTATCTCCAAATGGTTGTGAGTTACATTTGGCTGTAAGGTTTATGGGATTTCTAATCCTATATTGGAAAAAGATTTAACCTCTGAAGATGACGTAGAAAATAAAAATTTCAGTGGTTTTGTTTTCTTTAGATAATATTTAATTTGGCTTTAATCCTAAAAGATAAAGATAGAGAGAGAGAGAGAATTCAAATTTGAGTCATATATTTCCCAGGAACTATTCTGAGATTTGACCTATTTGTGAAATTGAAAGCCAAGTAAGTCAGTGGCATAACATACATAAAGGTTAAGTACAATTTGACCTTGAGAGATTGGAGTTTTCCCTCTTTCCATAATACTCAGCTCTAGAGTCCCAATTTTTGAACAGCTGATCAACCGCTGTCCACATTCATAGACAGGTAAAGACCTGTACCACATGTTTTGCATTCAAACATGTTCCATTAACATGCTCAGTTAACTGGCACTTCTTGATGACTCTATATGACGTCAGATAAATTTTTGCATCCAACATATATATTCAGCTAAACCAAAAAGAAGACACCACATCAGACTTACGAGAAAAGTTCTGTAAGAAAATGATAAATTTTGTATTAAGCTTGTTGCATTGCCAAAAATGATGGACTCAATACTCTTCCCTTTCTACCCAGATTTCTGATCAGTTTCTCTGCCCTTTATGTAAATACATCTGAGCTGCAATCAACTCACATCCCGAAAGATTAGACTGAGGCTGGATACAAAATAAAGGGCAAAGGTCATTAACTTGTAGCTGAGTGTTCCATATGCTGGGTTCTACAAGTCTATATACATCAGATATTCTGATCACATCAATATCTAAATCCCTGTTTTGAATATCATTTTACCCTCCAGATACTGTTCAAGAAGATATGTGCATATAAGTGTGCCCACCTATGTGGTTAAATGAATTCAATTCCTTTCAGAATATTTTCCTTCTTGCACCATGTTGTAGGAAACTCACAACCTAACTCTGTATGGAGCCTTATCTTTTCCTCTTCAATCTCTTCTTCATGTCTGTGTTCATACAGATTTGTCATAGGAAGAATATCTTATATAGATATCTTAGTAATTTCTGCAAAAGTTGTTACTTTCTCAATGTTTGCACAAGGAGTATTTTCAGTTAATAAATTCTGCTAAGAAACACCTTGGATAAAAATACTATCATACTATTATAATTTTTTTAATTTAGCATCCAAGATTTTGCACAAGGTCTGTATGTAGAAAAGTATCTTATTTGAAGGAAGTAAATTGATTTCAAAGTTCTATTTTATTTATGTCTGTAAGTAGAAACTAAGGCTTCCAAAATGTGCTGGAACACATTAATGACGTGTGATTTCATATCTGATTATTTGTGACCAGTGAAACCTAAAGTCAACGTACAAACTCTTGGCTGACTACACTCTCAGGGAACTATTTTCTAACGCTGATAAAACTAGAGATTTTAAAGTAAGATATTGAGTATTCAATGACTCTGGTCAATTTGCACAACATTTATATGTTGTTACTGTTTTTGGGCTCAAACAAGCAAAACAAAAGTATGAGAAGCAATCCATACTTATAATAATGATATAATTGCTTAGTTTTAGAGTTTACATAAAAATAATACTTGGAATGCTTTCATTATTTTTTTTTAATCTACATGGACTACAGATGCTCCATTTTATGTTCTTATTTAGATTTGATATAAGGGAGCTTAGAAGCAACCTGTTATTTTAATGTGTGATTAAAAGAAGATAGTTCTGAAGTGTTGCATTTTACAAAATCAGAGAAATATTGTGGTATTCAGATCCACGCAGAGGACCTTAAAGGTTACATGAACTGTTAAACGTATACACGCATTTTATTTTTTAAATCCTCTGCTCTACATTTATTGTGTAAATATTTTTAAAAAAATATGTGCTGAAACGTGTTAGTGATATGTGATTCCATAGTTTTCTTCTGTGGATAGCTTATCTGAAACCTAAATCCAAAAGCCTCATGGAATTCCAAAACCTGACATTCCTGATACATTTTGCAGAGAAAAGTCAAAACACCCAGACCTACAACATTTATACACGCTTTACCCTCCGTTTAGGGTGAATGTAATCTAGAATTAGCATCATCAGAGCATGTATATCCAGAGGTTACTCTCTACACCCCTCAGTGTCTCTTCAGATTTAATCTCACACTGGAACGCACACCATTACGTGATTTAAAAGGATAAAGCAGCATCTGGAAAACTAAAATGTCGTAAAAAGCTTAAATTACATTTTATTCCTCAGGCTTAAAACACAAATTGGAGAATTATTCAAATTAAACTTACTTACTTCCCATACCTCAAAATTATAAAATGATAGCACAGGGTAATTGCAAACAGAGGTAAAATCCAAAATTTTGCACATGGTTAGAAACAGACAGAAAATGTCATATAACTTTTGGGGACACTGGATAATGATAAATTTAAAGAGCAAAGGAAAAACTCTGGTTTTAACCAATTCCTATTTCATGTATTTAAGAATTCCAATATTTCTGAAATATATAGATGTGGTCAGTTTTAGAAAATAGGACCATTATGGTATGAATTCTTACTTCAAGACCAATAGCAACAACAACAAAACATTATCTAAAACAATTAGAAAAAAAAAAGTCCCACCCAAATTCTCAGAAATTAGTTTATGAAAATATTAAAATAATTGGAATTTTGTACTATATATTTAAACAGTAGCTTCACTGTTAAAGATTTCATGAAATTCTCCCATGATAATATAATATTTTATGTGAGATGCATGTAAATATATATTTATAAGCTAATGAAACTAGAAAATTAGATAAGCATCTGCAAGCTTTTATGCAATTGAATACTTTGCAGTTGGCAAAGCATTTTACAGAAGCTCATTTAATCCTCACAACAACCCTGTGAGGTGGGCAGGGAAGTCATTGCCATCTCTGCTTTGTGGTTTGGACCCTGAACACAGAGACTTTTGGGAACATATCTGAGGATAATAACTGTGAATCTCCTTTTTCGCTCCTAGTTTCACACATTTTCCTGTTGATACCAAACTAATTATCAGTGAGATGGAAAAAGTCTGAACCTGTGTAAGGAATAAATGTAAATCAACTATGATTCTATGACATTTATATTCATTGGAGGATAGTCTTTCAGACTACATTGTTACTGTGTGAGGTACCTATTTTTGATTACTGCTCGTGTTGAAAATAAGTGAATTAGACTGAAGTACAAACCAACTAGCAAAATGTTTGACAATTGTAAATACAGAAATGATCAAAATTGCTGATTTAAATATAATAAAACAAGTGGAAAAAAGGAAAAAAAAGTTCCTCAACCTTTGGGAGAAGATAAGGTGTGTGGTTATTGTTAAAATTAAATCATTCCCTGACATATCAGATTATCATAACATACCTTAAACTATTCTTTCTGTCCATTTAAAAATAGGAGTATCCCATTAAAATAAAAGGGGGTGTACGGGATAGAGACAATAGTCTCGTGCTCAGTACAGCACACAACTGGTGCACTGAAGTTGCATACATTATAGTGCAGGCAGCAAATCCCCATGCTCCATCAGTTTTGTATGGAGAAAAGAACTGGGGAGGGCAAAGGGAAATGGTACATACAAGTCCATGATAGAGTGGAAATACCTCATGTAATATAAACACAAGACAAGGCTAATGAGATCTGTTACAATAACAGAGAGTGGTTCTCAAGGGTTCACCCAGAAAAGTGATAAAAGAGGTCGTGATTACCTTTACAAGTTTCCTGTATTAGTGTTACCACCCCTATAAGTCATAGCCATCAGTGATCTTGAGCGTTTTTGTTTAGTTTTGCTTTTGAAAAAAATAAATCACAAAATATTGAAACAAATATCATTGTTTGGCTTAATGCAGGTATTCTTAATAAACAGTACCACAGACTTTATTGAGCAATTGAAAATATACACAAGGAACAATAACTTTTTCTTTGTATTGTCTTTTTTTTTTTTTTTTTTTACTTTCTTCCAATTAAATAACCCAGTTTCGATCATGAAAAGGGCACTTGTTTCTACAGGAGCTGTGTCCAACTTGCTCAGTTTCAAGTACTGTTTCCACACTTCTTCCTTGTCGTTGCTGAGGTTGTATCTCCACTTACTCAGGAAGCAAATTCCACAACGTTGCAAGAACTGACCCCCTAAGTTGTTCTTTCAGATTCTATTTCTCCGTAGAGTTCAGCTAACTTTTTAAACTCAGGTCCCCAGTCTCCAAGGTAGTGATAATCCTGGTCTGATTGTGTCGTTGCTGAATCCAGCGAGCTGATAGACCCAGCTTCTGATCTCTGACCCTCATAGGCATAAGTCTGAAGAGAGTCATAAGGGGGGACGCTAGGGTCTAGGTCTGCTTCTGCCAGTCTTTGCTTAATAAATTCCTGAACATCTATACTTTCCAGGGTGGACAATGTCTGGTGTCTGGGAGTGAGCTTCACTTCAGGTCTGATATCTCTCCGGTACTTGAGCTCCTCAGCAGCAGAAGGATTCCTCAAGGCTGTGATGTCAAAGGCCTCCGTGTCTTCCTCTCCGCCTCCTTCATCATCATAGGTGACCACGTTCTCCCGTACATCCTCCTCTGAAATGATCAAGGGCTCTTTTTTGCTGCGCCTCAGGGTGATAAAAATTACCACAATTGCTGAGGAAAAATGGAAAGAGGATGAAGAATTAAGAAAATAGGAAGGAAATTCTTAGAGATTTTACATCAGCAATTTCCCATTCATCACTAACCACATTCCAGAGTTAGGCTGACATTGCGGCACAACCCTCTCTGTGCTCTCCGAATAACACCACAAGGTACTGTAACGCCTCAAATAATGTAAAAGATGATTACCCCAGGAGACACTGCGAATTGCTGATCTTCTAGAGAAAACCACAATACTCTCTGTTTGCTAGGATGTAGGTTTCTTGGCTCACATTTCGGTAAAACCATTTAGTGATTAAAGTGAGATAAACACATGATGAAAAAATAATACGAAATTTTAACTAAAAAAATGTAGAGAGCCGGTCTCTCTATAGATATTTAATCCTTCTAGGTAGATACACTAAAGGAAAGATGTTTTAAGTTTCTGGAATATTGGAAGAAGGAGTCTTAAGGTTAAACCCTTTAAATTTTGACGCTTTGTGGAAAATCAAAGCAGAAATATTTTAATGTTGATCTCTTTTGTCAATTATCCTTTAAATTATATTATCATGCATTAATAATTGCATTTTCCCATTCAGGGGCAAAATAATGTTTCATTATCTGTACACAACTTGTTTCATAGGAATTTTCTGATTTATGAATGTTCTTTATATAACTATTTATTTAATTCTCACAGCAGAACTGTGACTTTACTCTATTTTTTACAGCAGAGTTGTGGCGTTACTGTCTTTTCAACCCATTTATGCCTGAGGTTGCAATTTTTCTGTGTGTGCAAAATCAGACTTTGGCGATGACCTTGAGCAGTAGGATATAAATAATTCCCACAAGCTTAGCATTCCAATAATGGATCACTATGCATAAATGAGGATGAGGAATCTGAGACTCAGAAAAGAGTATCTGAATAACCAAGATCAAAAGATCACATAGATGGCAAGTGGAAGAGCTTGTACCATAATGTGATTTCTCACATCACAGGTAATGACATTTCTACTATAATAATATTCTACTTCAGTATTTCAGAAACATGAAATAATAAACTGAGTGGCCAATTGGACATGTGCCTCAGGATAGCTCTTGCTGAATATGGTGGATTAGTCTTTATTTCCAACAATGCTGCAAACATTAGAAAATATGATAGAAATGTGTCTTGGGAACTTTGCTTTGGCCATTTATCAACATTTTCAACTGTTTCTATTTGATGAGATTAAACTGCTACTAAATAGAAATAGTTCCCTCACATCAAATTTGTTATAGCCTGTGTTATTAGGCTGAGTATTATTTACTTCAGTTCTATAGACTGCTCTTTTCTTGTTCAGCTGATAGTCTAGGCTCTATGATAGTGATAATGATGCCCATTAATATTTTAAACATTCTATACTTCATAATAATCAGGGAGGTACATTCAATTGACATTTAAGATTGTTATATTTAGCAAATAAAAATAAATGGCAGGATTCTCAAACGTGAATTTGAGATCAACAGCAGCACACATGCACACCCACCCACCCACACACACACACACGCTTCTCAACCTACGTGAGCTTACATTCCTATAAACCCATTTGAAGTTGAAAATATCTTAAACTAAAAATGAATTTGATACACATAATTTAGTAAGTATTATACCTTAGCCTAGCCTACCTTAAATGTGCTCAGAACACATTAGTCTACCGTTTGGCAAACTTATCTAACACAAAACATACTTTATAATAAAGGTATTATAAAGAATTTTGAATAAGAATTCAAAATATGGTTTCTACTGAATGCATATTGCTTTCACATCCTTGTTAAGTCAAAAAATCTTAAGTCAAACTATTGTTGGTTAGAGACCATCTGCAACACACACACACACACACACAACCACACATACACACACATACACATAAGGTATTATGTCCCATATAATATTTGAGATACACACACACAGGCAAATATTGTGCTAAGCATACATGTATATGTTCCAAATATATTATCCCATGTGACATATTTATGTTATGTATACATATATACCTATATACAGATAAAGATATATTTCTTATTTATCTGAAATTCATATTTATTTGGGTATACTGCATTGTATCTGGCAACCTTGATTATATGTGATCCTCAACAAACGGTTGTGAAGCAAACATCAGGTTATCTAACTCTGATAAAGAATATACTTTCCCCCCCCAGCAACTGCCCTTTTACTGCTTACCTCTGCAAAGTAACTTTTATCTTTACTTTTATCATTATCGTTACTTTGTTCTTCTTTATAGCTTAACCTATTTTATGTATGCCTCTAATTGATATGGACTAGTTTTATCTGTTTGAAAACTAGAGAAAACTTGAGGAAGAGGAGTCGATTTTAAAGCCAGAGGTGGAGAGGATAATGAGAGAAAGGGATGGTCACTGTGCACTGGGAGGTACCCAGTTTTGCAGAGGAAAGGCAAATGGGAGACTATGAAGGAACCAAAAAGACAGGAAAAAGAAAACATCTGTAGAGAAGGTCATAGAACCATCCAGAAAAGTGTGAAATGAAAAGATATTAGCATCGGGAAGGTCATGAGAAAATTTAATGAGGGTCACTACAGCAGATATGGGAAGCACTGAATTACTGTTGTTTAAAATGAAGTGGTTACAGAAAGCTAAAAATGAAATGCTGATGCTTCTCATGCCCTGATCTACAAATATTATGCACAGAATTACGGATTTTCCCATATATGTTGACTATACTTCAAAGACATTATTTAATAGATGCCTTTATTTTGGGGTAAAAAAGGCTTCTGCTGAACATAGAAATATGCATTTAATAACTCCCTGTGTATTTTAGCATAAATCCACCTTACAGTTTTCTAATTCAAAGCCCCAAACAACATCCTCAAGTAACTCACTCCACTGTATTCAGTTTAGATTTATCATGCACGATATATATCTCTGTTCCTCTTTATAATTAAATGAGGAGGCTGTACTAGATCGAAAGACCTATTTATACAGACTGCCTAATTTATTATAATACAATTTCTTACCTTCGCCAATAAATCAAGTTATTTTCTTTTATATTGAATTGGTTGGTGGTTGATGTCAAGGGAATTTATGTGCAGACACAACAGGAAATATGTAATCAATACTGCCATAGAGGTAGGCAGGTAATTTGCATCCTTCAATATTTGTGCAATTTTTCAATCTTTGCATATGTATCATATCCCCTTAATGAAATACAGGGATAAACCTGGCTTTTTAATTATCATGGCATATGGCATATAGTTTCTTATTTCTCAAAAGTTAAAATAATTCAGATATATTATAATTCAAAATATAGAGACCATTTATGTTTGAATGTTGAAGGTTTACATCTACCTTTTCCCCAGAAAAGGTAGTATTTGCTACCTTTCTGGATATTATTTGCTAGTATTCAGTGATTCCTAGACTTGTTACATACTTATTTAATAAAAGGATATATCTATATATGAGATATATGTATATATAATAATCAAAATCTGAGTCACTTTTGAGTGAAAGGGGATGTTGTTTATAATTATGCCAGGACATCAGGACAAATGCAGACATAGGATCACTCTAGTTAAAGGTAAATTCAAATCAACTCAGAGAAAATGTTGTACATTGTGTTCCTGATGAACTTAGTTTCATTCCTGTTGGTTCCACAGATACTTCTGGAGCAGAGGGCACCAGGTAGATATTCCATAAACAGTTCTCATGTGGACAAACAAAAAAATAATCTCCATGAAAGTGGTAATGTGACATTGTGTTCAGTGAATTATCCTGAACAGTAATAGCCTCACTAGGAAAATAATTTTAAAATATTTTTTTTTTAATTAGCTTATGGTTACTAATAACATCAAACTCCTAATTGTACTGGAGAATATTTCTTAATGTTTGAAAAACAAATGAAATGTTTCCAAAAAAATCCTAAGACCAAAGTATATTTTAAAAGAATGAGTGCAGATAATAATTATACATGTAAATAGAGTCAAATCCTTATTTAAAACCTGACAGTCAAAAGAATGTATTCAAATGACCCTGATAATCTTTCAAACCATACACATGGGCAAGGTACCTCTTCTTACAGTGGGTCATCTGGTAAAATACAATATGAGATAACCAAAGTAATGTTACAAAAAAAAAAAAGGATATATCACTCATTTTCCTTTGTACAAATAATAAATAATTTCTGATATAATTTGAAGCCAATTTTAGTTGTATAATTTGCATTGAAACTTGAATAAGTTGTAGTATTTTTTAGATGTCTTATTCCAAAATAAATATTGTATCCTTGGTTCGTAAATTTCTTTTTCTTCTGTTCAAGTTGGGACAGAATTGTAAATGCCCTTGAGATTATCATTTTACATAATAAATTAGAAAAAATCTGTGGAGTTTTATGAATTAATTTTATCATCAAGTAATTCAAAGTTGGGGAAACATTTTTTGTATTTGTTTTCTCATAATATGTGTTTTTTCCTATATATTATGTATCATTCCAGTGCTTGGCATACTAAGTGGCTTTCAGTTTCCATAATATAAACTGTCATACAACTTGCATTTGAACACATTCCATACTGAATCTCAACATACTTCTCCCTAAGTAGCTTGCATAGCAGAATCTTTTAAACCTCAAGTATCATTTGATTCTTTGTCACACCATCATACGCTGGCATCACATTTGGTAGAATTGAGGTGGTCTGAGTCAGGGAGGTTATTTTGATTAGCTTATGGAGTGTGACTTGCCACACTTGGGAGTGGCATCTCTCTCTGAAACCTTAGATTTTTTAACCAAGGGAAGCACACAAAACCATTTGAAATTGCTCAAATGAAAATCAGGCTGACCTTTTTCTCCTCACCAATTCCATCTTCTTCTCTTAGTTCACCATGCGTTCACAACAACTCCATTCTGATCCTCATTTATCAGGAAATTTATATCCAATATTAGGGAGCAATCCACGCTTCACTTATGGTGGCCTCACCTAGGTCACCTGCTTATATGTGAGCTATGGACTGAAAGGGTAGCCGGAAGAGGTCCCAGTCAGATCCCAACTCAGTGACTTATGCCAAGTGCGATCAAAGTTTACCTTGCCAACTACTCTGACAAGAGATGGGATAAAGCTGGGAAATAAACGTCAGGCCTCTGGGAGGGAGAGAGGACTTCAGCTACCTCTACTGTCATGGTAAATTCTGATTGCATCATAAAGGCTCACTCTAAATTCTCTTCCATCCATCATATGCAATAGACCTGAAAAAGGTAATCTCAACAGAAAGTAACCCAACTCATAATGTTCAAATCTATCATTTAAAGTTAGTCTCTTTGGTTGACAAGCACCATTCAACGTATTCCTAGATGGATTCTGGCCATGTTGTAAAATGTTGAACCATATGTAATCTTTAATAAACAAGAATAAGCATTTCAAAATTCTACAGAATGACTCTAAGGTCCCTTCAACTGAAATGTCATTCTCACAGGTTTAGAAATAGAAACAAAGACTGAATGTGTGGCCTGAGATCACACAGTTATTGGCAAAACTAGACCTGGGTTTGTACAATCACAGTCATTTTCACAAACAAGAAGTTGAGAGGGAAAACATATTTAATATTAAAATATTAACTTTACAATTTGTTTAGATGTGAGGGTTGAAAGTTAATTTAGAATTAGAATTTCAAGAACAGAATTAGAAGTCCAAGAAGAAAGTTGTGCTACCTTTGGTTTTGCCAATATTTACGTTGAAAATCATAATCTCACAAATTAACTTCAACATTATTTTAAAATTACGGATGACTATATCCTGTATCCCTTGGCTACATACTTTCTGAATAACCATAAAAACTAATCAATGCCATGAAAAGCATACATTGCATTGTAATATATAATTGTAGTTATAATATATATATTCACTAATTTTATTAGTTGAAACTCAAATATGTTTTTACAGCATCTTTTCACCAATTCCATCTTCTTCTCTTAGTCCACCACATGTTCACACCAAATCTACTTTGACCCCCATTTATCTGGAAATTTATATCCAAGATTAGGGAGCAATCGATGCCTCACTTATGGTGGCCTCACCTAGGTCACCTGCTTATACCTGAGGTATGGACTGAAAGGGCAGCTGGCAGAGGTCCCAGTCAGATCACGGCTCAAATATGCTTTTAGAGCATATTTGAGTTTCAACTAATAAAAATGAAAAAGTAAACGTATCATAGAGTAACTTTATTAGTCTGGAGGGATATCATAAAATTTACAAATGTCCTATTATTTACCCCAAAAGAGAAAACATTTTCATAAAAACCAATTAAAATGAAGTATCGTTCCATGAAAACATAAAATATTCTTTCAAATAATGCACCTCAAAATGTACCTAGACATTTAACATGTTAATTACATTTTTGATATTCATCTTAGTAAATGAAAATAGTTTTCTGATGATAAATGAGCTCAAAATTTGAAGATAACATGCCTCACCTAAGTGATCTACTTTTAAGAGTAAGAATGCTGGAAGAACTCTCATTAAAATCCCTGCGTTCTATTCTCTATGACTTCAGTTAGGATTCTAGAGAGATCCAGGTTAATTGCTATTGTGTAGCCTTGTTTTCTCTTTCTGGAGTGTTTGTGCTCTTTTTTTTCTTTTCAAATACACACACACAAAAGAAGTATGTTAATATCCAAAGAAAATAGCAGTTCTGACGAATAAATATATAAAATTTCTTTCTTTTTCTCCTTCTTCTTCTTTTTTTTTTTTTTTTTTTTTTGAGATGGAGTCTGGCTCTGTTGTCTAGGCTGGAGTGCAGTGGCACGATCTTGGCTCCCTGCAAGCTCTGCCTTCTGGGTTCACCCCATTCTCCTGCCTCAGCCTCCCAAGTAGATGGGACTACAGGCGCCCACCACTACGTCCAGCTAATTTTTTGTATTTTTAGTAGAGATGGGGTTTCACCGTGTTGGCTAGGATGGTCTCGATCTCCTGACCTCATTATCCGCCCACCTCGGCCTCCCAGAGTGCTGGGATTACAGGCGTGAGCCACCGTGCCACCGTGCCTGTCCATGTAAAGTTTCTAACGGCTCTCTTCCTGACTTTCCTCTCCACCACACATTTACTGTATATATTTATTTGTTTTATTTATTTACTTATTTTTGAGACAGAGTCTCACTCTGTCATCTGGGCTGAAGTGCAGCGGTGTGATCACGGCTCACTGCAGCCTCTAACTCCCAGGCTCAAGGGATCCACTCATCAGCCTCCCAAGTAGCTTGAACTACAGGTGTGTGCCACCATTACGAGCTAGAAATGACTTGATTGCAGTGAAATAGTTCTTGCTCTGGTGCACCAAACTTCCATGCTTCATGTTGCTAAGTGCAATTGAGCATTTTGGTGCTCAATTTATTGAACTTGTAAGCATCTTTTGACTATGTTGACAAGATCTACTACACAGCATAATGCTCATTGATACCCTCTTTTCCTTGATGTTTGTGACATTATATTTTCTTCCTACTCTCGCTTCTTCACTGTCCTCTGCTATCTCATCCTTCTTATTTAGCGATCACATTGTAGTTTCTCACTGCTCAACCCCAGTCTATTGTCTCTCTACATATATTCTCTTGCTGGGCAATTTCAATGAAGTGGACTTTCAATGTCATCTAGCTCAGGGTAGTTCAGGATCTACATTCAGCAAGATATAAGAAGTTGTATTTGATGCCATTCTAACTTATGCAGGTCTCTACATTGTCAAAGATCATTTTCCTGAGTCCATCGAAAGTACCTAGATAGTATTCACTTTTCCTCAGGTCTTTGGTAAGTATGCTACTCCGATACGTGCTATGTCGAAGGGAGACAAGGGCAGTTTTCCTAATTGGTTTGCCTACATGCCCTCTTGTCATCAGGAGTTCTATTCTCCATTTCATTCACAGTCATCTTTTGCAAACTGTAGATTTTATAATGGGACTCTCTGGCTTTAAACCTTTCTTTACACTCCTAAAACAAAACTTACCGGCTTTGCCATGCCCCACAAATCTCTGGATGCTCTCACCCTTTCCTGCAAATCCCTTCTCCTTTCCAGGCTCATTACGTTTTAATCTCCCCTCCATCTACACAAGTGATTTGTCTTCGACCCCAGGAACAGAACAGGGAACATATTTTTTGCAAGAATACCTCTTTCTCAGAAAAACAGTCAATTATCTTTTCATGTATGCCAGTACCATAAAAGGAATAAAAAGCAGGCTGCTAAGAGAAAGAAAAAAGGGTTTGGACAGACGTTCCCACTTTATGAAGCAGAAAGATTCCTTACATCCATCTTTCTTTTTATTACAATACAGATTTGCTATCTTGTTTCAAAGAGCAATCTAAAGAGTTTATAGTTACGTGAGCTCCTCATGCAGCTGTGAAAAGATTTAGAATATTACAACAGATAATGTAAAATTAGAGAAAGTGTTTTATTTTTAATGAACTGTAATGAAAAATTCAAATAAAAAAGTATTATTATTATTATTATTATTTAGATGGAGTCTTGCTTTGTTGCCTAGGCTGTAGTGCAGTGGCGTGATCTTGGCTCACTGCCAGCTCTGCCTCCCGGGTTCACGCCATTCTCCTGCCTCAGCCTCCCGACTAGCTGGGACTACAGGCGCCCGCCACCATGCCTGGCTAATTTGTTTGTATTTTCAGTAGAGACGGGGTTTCACTATGTTAGCCAGGATAGTCTCAATCTCCTGACCTCGTGATCCACCCGCCTCGACCTCCCAAAGTTCTGGGATTACAGGCGTGAGCCACCGTGTCCGGCCAAAATTACTGTTTTTAAGGGAATATAATTAAATTTAATACAATTTAATAGCCCCCTAAGACCAAAAAATACTCAGCACATTAACAACTAACAAACATTAATGATTAACTAATTATTGTGAACTAGTAGAAGTTTCTACAAGATATCTATTTTTTATTTGGTTTTCAGATTCGTTTTGCTTTCTGATTTATTCATTTATATATTTAAGGTGTGCAACATGATGATGTTTTCCTAACAATAGTTTTCACTATTATTACATAATGAAATGCTTAGTGTAGTCAAGCAAATCAATGTATCTGTCATCTCACATAGTTACACTCCTTTTTCACGTGGAGTGGAGAAAGCACCTAAAGTTCACTGTCTTTGCAAATTTCCAATACAACACAATATTGTTATTAACTAAAGTCCTTTTGTTGTATATTTGATCTTTACATTTACTCACCCTATGGCCATATGACCCTCACCCTCATCCTGAATGAATGGGTGACCTCCTCTGATCTCAGAAGCTAAGCGGGATGGGGTCCTGGTCGGATTCATTTAGAATGATGCCACTTAGGTTCTTGCAAAAAAATGTGAAAAGCTCTTTCAAGATGGGATTCTGAACATTTAAATATTAATTCTTTCTAAAACATACACTTTCAAAAGCTATTTCTTTCCGATTTTACCCTTCTTCTGTTATTTCAGTTCTTTCAACACATTTGAATCTAACTATTTTGAGATTAATGACAGTATAGAGAAAATTAATTCATAGGAAATTGGAGCAGCTGTATCCTTACCCACATTATGTATGCCTAATCCTTAAGTTTTGTCAAAATGATTTCCTCTCATTCAGAATTGCCATCATACAAACTTAGGGTTTAGAATGACTTACCCAGGAGAATGAGAACACAGAGAAGAATAGCGATTAAGGCTCCTGTACTCAAACCAGCCGAGGACAGAAAGGCTTCTGCATGGCAGGTCCGCACGCGCCCATCTCTCTCGCATGCACAAACCCTGATGGTGAGGGTGCTGCTGCTGCTGAGAGAGGGGATTCCACCATCAGAGATCATAATGGGCAGATAATACACATCCTGAACAGTTCGACTAAATCTCCTCCGCCTTGTCAGAATGCTGGCTGTGTTATCTATGACAGACATAAGCAAAACAAAATATTCTTAGTCAAGCCGCCATTCAAGATTCACATTTCCTTTAATGGATAAAACGGGGATGTGTATCTTTCTTATTTCAGTTTATGAAATGGACAAGGGAATACGAAGGGGCAATTATTAAAGAGAGGCTAATATTGGTTCTCCAGTTGAGAAACCTAGTTAGAAAAATTAATACAGCCACACTAAAGATGAAGGAAAATAGTGGGAAGACAAAGGAGGAGGAAGAAATGAACATTTTGGACATGGACCTAATAGCTAAAAGATTTAAAGGGATGCAGAGGGCCTGAAGTCATACACTTAGGGTCCTACACTTTGAAGTGAGCCAACGAGACTTTCCCCAAACCTAGAGGCTCTGAATATATGTGATAGGACCACAAATCTGTATTTTTAGCAAACTATTGAGATGAAGTTGACGCATAAAATAGGTATAAGAACTACTGGTTTAGATATTTCTATGGAGACAGTAGATCAAGCAATACATTTTTTTAGACTTAGCTGTGATTTGAAGCACTATTGTTTGACCATGGGGAAGTGAATGATGAATAAAATAGCTAATCATCTTTTTAAAAATGTGTTTATTAAATGCAATGTACTATAATAAATGCCTGCATGATATATTGTGTTCAATCTATAACCTTATGAGGGACAGGGTGCTAAATTCTTTAATTTATAGCTGAAAAAATTTTATTATAAATACTAATTTAAAAGTAAATAACCCTAGTCCCAGAGTGTTAGTTGCCCAAAATCACAAAGCTAGTAAATGATAAGAATAAATCCTCTATTCTAGAACCCTGCTCAACACCACAATGTCACTTTGCCTCATCTCCAATTCACTGCCAAATGGTATTGATGTCCTCAGTGCATATAGTATATGTTTCATTGTACTGTTATTCCTCATCCCTGAATGCATAGCTGAAAACCCACATGGTTCACACTTGGATGTACTGTTCAGATCCCTTCATAAAATTACCTGTTGCCCTAGCTATAGATTGCCACCTGCTCCCAGGTCACATTCTTCTGGAATAGCATATAACTAATGACTCATTGCTGAAAGGTTACAAATGTTGGCCTGTCCCCCTTCCTATACTACTGACAATACTGATGGACAACTTTAGCTCCAGAGCTTTTCCAGGGGGTCAGCCATTAAGAGACATTAAGAGTGAATGGCAGCTCCATTTGTCACTCTACCCAGTCCTTCTTCCTTCTCCTGTGATCTACAGATGTTGATCCCAATGGCACACTCCACTACACCTGCACTCCAAATGCCAGTTCAACTCCAGGGAATTCAACATGCAGCTACATCTATGAGTTAATTATTTTGCACTAAAATGTAAGTGGATCATTAGACAATTACAATGAGGGCTTCTTTTTCTCTTATCAATGTCTTTTATTCTGAAAATTGAAATTGTATTTCATATAGCTATGTTTATAATAGTCACAGTGCAACATCCTAAAATGATATTATTTATTGTACATTGCTAAATTTATATAATGAGAAAGCTAACTAATTTTTCAAATATTCGATGTACTACACCTAATAAAACACAAAATATGCATATACATATATATATATGATTGAGTTACTAAAAATCAGAAATAAATAATCCAATGAGAAATTGAAGATTTTTCTTACCCAGAGAAAGAGGAATTTTTAAAAATGACATCAGCTGTCTATTCTTAAACATGTTATAGGATAGAAAAAGAAGAAGTGGAGAAATGATATCATGTGTATTATATAATAATTTATCAGTCACATTTACTCTCCCAGAAAACCCGACCTTTGTGGAAGCAGATCTATCAGCTGTAGGATGATGCATCATAATTAATAGAAGTCTTTCGTCTATGGGAAATGCGTGAGCTAAGTATTCACAGGCACAAACATGTCTGACAATCTCACAGCTGCTCCTCTGAAGAGAAGATGTGAGACACTGGTCTCTGAATCTCAGGAAACACGAATAATAACATGTGAAATGACATAACATGTGGTGTAGATGGTGGCTGTTTCATGACTAAGGCCTAGCATACATCTCATATTAGTAATCTTGAAGCGTGCTATTTTCAGGAAAACTATTGGAAATGCAATCAGAAATAAGACAAATGCCAGAATAGGCTTCTAGTGCATTCTAAGTCCTGAAATAGAAATCTCTAAGATGTAAAGACATAAAAATGTTCATTCTTTTTTTTTCCAGTTACAGTTTTGACTTTGGAAAAGAAAGGATGATTCAGGAGGCAAAGAGCTTCCCAGCTAGAAAAGCTTGGCCCAGCAGAATAATGAGCTCTTGACAAGGGATATTCTATACCTCACCAGAATGGCAAAAAATATACCTGGCAGAAGGCTCACTGAACTTGAAAAATAAAATTTTGAACACTGAGGAAGAATATGAAAGGAAGAAGAAATATATATATATTATATAGAAATATATATTATATAGAAATATATATTATATAAACATTAGAAAATATGAGAGAAATGTGTCTGGGAATCCTCAAGCTTTGGCCATTTATCAACATTTTAATTGTCTGTATTTGATGAGATTAAACTGCTACCAAATAGAAATAGTTCCCTCACATCAAATTTGAAAGTATAGCTCGTGTTATTAGGTTGATATTATTTACTTCAGTTCTATAGACTGTTTTTTCTTGTTCAGCTGATAGTCTAGGCTCTATGATAGTGATAATGATGCCCATTAATATTTTAAACATTCTATACTTCATAATAATCAGGGAGGTACATTCAATTGACATTTAAGATTGTTATATTTAGCAAATAAAAATAAATGGCAGGATTCTCAAACGTGAATTTGAGATCAACAGCAGCACACATGCACACCCACCCACCCACACACACACACACACACACGCTTCTCAACCTACGTGAGCTTACATTCCTATAAACCCATTTGAAGTTGAAAATATCTTAAACTAAAACAATTTGATACACATAATTTAGTGGGTATTGGCACCTTAGCCTAAATACCTTAAATGTGCTCAGAACACATTAGTCTACCGTTTGGCAAACTTATCTAACACAAAACATACTTTATAATAAAGGTATTATAAAGAATTTTGAATAAGAATTCAAAATATGGTTTCTACTGAATGCATATTGTCACATCCTTGTTAAGTCAAAAATCTAAGTCAAAACTATTGCTGGTTGAGACCATCTGCAACACACACACACACACACACAACCACACATACACACACATACACATAAGCATGCTATGTCCTGAGAGTATAAGACGAGATACACACACACAGGCAAATATTGTGCTAAGGCACATGTATATATGTTCCAAATATATTATCCCATGTATATTTATGTTATGTATACATATATACCATATAGCAGATAAAGATATATTTCTTATTTATCTGAAATTCATATTTATTTGGGTATACTGCATTGTATCTGGCAACCTTACTTATATGATCCTCACCAAACGGTTGAAGAAAACACTTCAGTTGGCTTAACTCTGATAAAGAATATACTTTCCCCCCCCAGCAACTGCCCTTTTACTGCTTACCTCTGCAAAGTAACTTTTATCTTTACTTTATCATTATCGTTACTTTGTTTTTCTTATAGCTTAACCCATTTTAAGTATGCCTTCTTAATTGATATGACTAGTTTTTATCTGTTTGAAAACTAGAGAAAACTTGAGGAAGAGGAGTCGATTTTAAAGCAGAGGTGGAGAAGGACAATGAGAGAAAGGGATGGTCACTGTGCACTGGGAGGTACCCAGTTTTGCAGAGGAAAGGCAAATGGGAGACTATGAAGGAACCAAAAAGACAGGAAAAAGAAAACATCTGTAGAGAAGGTCATAGAACCATCCAGAAAAGTGTGAAATGAAAAGATATTAGCATCGGGAAGGTCATGAGAAAATTTAATGAGGGTCATTACAGCAGCAGATAAGGGGAAGTGACTGAATTACTGTTGTTTAAAAATGAAGTGGTTACAGAAAGCTAAAAATGAAATGCTTGATGCTTCATATGCCCTGATCTACAAATATTATGCACAGAATTAAGGATTTTCCTACATATGCTGACTATACTTCAAAGACATTATTTAATAGATGCCTTTATTTGGGGTAAAAAAAGGCTTCTGCTGAACATAGAAATATGTATTTAATAACTGTATTTTAGCATAAATCCACTCACAGTTTTCTAATTCAAAGCCCCAAACAACATCCTCAAGTAACTCACTCCACTGTATTCAGTTTAGATTTATCATGCACGATATATATTCTGTTCTCTTTATAATTAAAATGAGGAGGCTGTACTAGATCGAGTGACTCATTTTATACAGACTGCCTAATTTATTATAATACAATTTCTTACTTCTAAATAAATCAAGTTATTTTCTTTTATATTGAATTGGTTGGTGGTTGATGTCAAGGGAATTTATGCACACAACAGGAAATATGTAATCAATACTGCCATAGAGGTAGGCAGGTAATTTGCATCCTTCAATATTTGTGCAATTTTTCAATCTTGCATATGTATTCTCATATCCCCTTAATGAAATACAGGGATAAACCTGGCTTTTTAATTATCATGGCATATGGCATATAGTTTCTTATTTCTCAAAAGTTAAAATAATTCAGATATATTATAATTCAAAATATAGAGACCATTTATGTTTGAATGTTGAAGGTTTACATTTCATTTTTTTCCCCAGAAAAGGTAGTATTTGCTACCTTTCTGGATATTATTTGCTAGTATTCAGTGATTCCTAGACTTGTTACATACTTATTTAATAAAAGGATATATCTATATATGAGATATATGTATATATAATACAATCAAAATCTGAGTCACTTGGAGTGAAAGGGGATGTTGTTTATAATTGAGGTTATAGACATCAGGACAAATGCAGACATAGATCACTCTAGTTGAAGGTATAAATTCAAATCAACTCAGAGAAAATGTTGTACATTGTGTTCCTGGATGAATAGTTTCATTCCTGTTGGTTCCA